GTTTAGAAACGCATTTCTGGTTATGGCAAGGATTTGGTGGGTGGGTTGCTATTTATTTCCTCATAGAAGAACTGAAAGACTTGATATGATATGGCTTTGTGGGCGACAGAAAGCTTTTTGAAATGTAACATAGTCCCTGGTTCTGTGTCGAGAATAGTGAAAATAAGAGAGTTACAGGTCCCCAGTTAACAGTCTTGTGTTGAAGTTCCCTTTTAAAGAAGTAGTATTTAGTCTGCCTTCTGCCAAATGGCCCAAATAATTCCTATTCAGGTAGGATGGTGGGTTTGGGGAGAGAGGATAATGATGCGGGATTCCCCTCTGTTTGCTGTGAATATCATTAGTTAATAAAGTAACTGGCTTGGCCTGATAGGGTAGAACAGAGCTATGTGGAGAAAACTAAACTGAATGCTAAGAGAAAAAAGGGCAGAGTCAGAGAGAAGCCATGTAGCCCAACTGGAGACAGATGCCGAAACTTTACCTGGTAAGCCACAGCCACGTGGCAACACACAGATTAATAGAAATGGGTTAAATCAAGATATAAGAGTTAGCCAATAAGAAGCTAGAACTAATGGGCCAAGCAGTGATTTAATTAATATAGTTTCTGTGTGGTTATTTAGGGGCCCCAAAGAACGAAGAACAAAAGAGTAACAGTAAAAAAACCACCAGCTAAAGGCCTGCTCTCCAGAGTGCTACTGGCAGTTGGGGGGCAGTGCCTATTTTCCAACTGTGCCAGCCTCAGGGCCAGATCAGCCGCCTGTCTCAGGTGGCAAAGGGTAGGACAGGGAGGGAGGTCATCTCCCCCTCACCCACTCTACCATATTCCAGATGAGGGGTGGGTTCTGATCTCCCTCAAGCATTCCCATGGCCTGATCATCTGAACCCCCATCAATGGGGGTCAGCCCTACTGTGCTGCCCGGACAAAGAGCAGGGCCTGCCTTCCTGAGTGCTGCAGTCTGTGAGGGGCAGGATCAGCTCTCCAAATCTTGGGACCCTGGGACCAGCTTTTTCTGCCTGCGGTAGGTAAGGTGCCTGGGACAAGGGGCTATCTCTCCCTCGCTCATGCTACCATGTGATAGACCATGGGCTAGCTCTCTCACTCGCATGACTTCGGGGCTGACTCACCTGCACCCCAGCTCTGCTGTGCTGCCCAGGCTAGGTGCAGAGCCTGTTCTGAGAGCTGCAGTGGGTGGGGGCAGGACCAGTTCTCCCTAGTGCTTCAGCCAGTGAGGGGCGGGACCAACTCTGTGCAGCCCTATCCTCACTGCTTTCAGTGGTGACAGGAGCCAGGGACATAGCACAGACCACAGAGGCGGCAGGATCACAGACCCAGCCAGGCCCAAGCCCAGAACAAGGCCCCTGGGGGCAGCCCAGGCCCCCAGTGAAACCATGGCCATGGCAGCAGCACAGGCTCCTCAGATCTGCCTGGCTCCAACAGAGGCTCAACTCTCCCACAGTGATCTGGCCCGTGGTGGTGCCCAGGCCCTTGATGTGTCTGAGTGGCCCTTAATGGCAATATGGGCCATGGATAGCAAGACAGGTCCCTGCTGTGGTTGGACCATGGACCCAGACAGGGTCCTTGGAGGGGGCCCAGGCCCAGATGTCACAGTGGCCCCAGGTGGCAATGCAGGTCCCTCTGAACAGCATGGCCTGTGAACACCCGTATAGGCCCAGGTGTAAGCCCAGATCCTGAGCATTCACACAGGAATCTCAGACATGAGTGCAGACCCTGGCTGTGGCAGGGTCACTGACCCAGACATGATCCCTGCTGCAGCTCGGGCCCATATGACACCCTGGGCCTGGGTGGCAGCACACATCACTCAGGTCAGTATGGGTTCAGCAGTGGCACAGCTCTCAAGCACCAAGAAGGCCACAGGGTGGGAGCCAAGATCCTGGGAATCAGTGTGGCGTTTGGTGGCAACAGGGGTCACAGACATCAGCATAGACTCAGGCTGTGGTAGGACCGCAGACCAAGACATGGAGATCTCTCCTGGGTGGTGACAGAGAGAGAAAGCTGGCAGGCTGAAGCAGCCCAGCTACCACCCAGACCCAGAGTCAGGACAAAAAGGTAGCCCACCCCACACCCACCTCATCTATGAACCGCTGGAGCTCGTGAAGGCACAGCCCCAAAGCTGCAGGATCTCCACAACACAGGGAAACAACAGGATATCCAGGAGAGTCCCAGTCAGGGCCCAGTGCCCACAGTGCAGCAGAAACCAGAGGCCCTGAACCAGACCAATGACTCCGTGCAACGAGCACTTGCAAGAAAAGGGCGCATATGTGTGAACTGAAGGTAACCTGTGACACGCCGCAGCTTCCGCACCGAGGTTTGAGGGGTGTTTGATTTTGTGTGCTTTGGTTCAGGTTTTTGTTTTACTTTTAAACTTTATTTTGGCGGGGGAGGTTGCAAGGGCAGAGGGCAGAAGTGAGGAGACAGGGGATGAGTCGTATTAGCATGCGTGATGTGAAATTCACAAAGAATCAAGAAAATGTTTTAGAACTAACTACAAATAAAAGCAAGAAGTATGAAAAAAATGAGAGATGGCATTAAAGATTCAAGAACCACTCAGTGTTTGTCAGTACCGTGTCTACCCTTTCAGCTCTGTGGCACCCATGAGAATGCCTGGGATCTTCCAAGATCACATGGTACAGAGGGGCACTGAACAGCAGAAGCTGGGTTTCCAGAGTTCCAAAGGCCGTAGCCCCCAGTGACTTCTCTAGATACACAAGGGCCCATGTTCTCCTATGCAAGGCTAGAATTCCTCAGGAGGGTCCTGATCAGAAGGGCTCCCCAAGCCCTCTGAGCTACTGCTGCGCTCTGAAGCCGCAATGCAACAGGGGAAATGCAAGAGGGGCACCTGCAGCTCAGGAGAGCAGAGCTGGAGCTCAGTGGAGTTCTGTCCTAAGGGCCTAAAATGCAGGGCCACTCGAGAGACAGGACAGAAACACCTGGATTACCAAGGAGGCTTTTGGGATAAAGCTGTACATTCACACAGTTTTTGAAACAAGCATGGTTACATTTTTAAAAACCAAATCATTCCCATTGCTCTCTGCTTGGCAGGAAAATGAGAAGTGACAGAAGGAACTGATAAGATGAAATGAGAAATGGATCATTTCTTCCCTCCCTCCCTCCCTCTCTCCCTTCCTCCCTCCCTTCTTCACTCTGTCCCTTCTTTCTGTCTCTCTTTTTTTTCTTCCCTTTTTTTGAGACAAAATTCCCCAGGCAGACCTAAAACTCACTCTAAAATGAAGAATGACAGGGACATCATCACAGACCACAGCTGCAGCAGGGTCTCCAATCCAGACATGGCCCCTGGCCCCCAGTGAAACCATGGCCCTGGCTGGCAGCACAAGCTCCTCAGATCTCATGGCGCCAGCAGAGACTTAAGCCTTGGACAGTAACATGGCCCTAAGTGGTGGCCCAGGCCCCTGATGTCTGAGTGGCCCTTAGTGTAATTGATATTGAATGGATATCAATTACAGACCCTAGCTGTGATTGGACCATTAACTCAGACATGGTCCTTGGCAGCAGTCCAGGCCCAGATGGCAGTGCAGGTCCCTCTGATCAGCATGGATCCAACAGCAGTGTGGCTATTAAACACCTACATGACCCCAGGTGGGGTTACTGAGCGGGGCATCTGCACAGATTTTGATGGCAACAGGAAACTTGAACATCAGTGTAGACCCTGGTTGTGGTAGGGCCAGTGACCTAGACATGGCCAAGGCCACAGTTTGGGCCTGTATGATGCCCTGGCTCTGGGTGGCATTTGTGTCTCACTCAGGTCTTTATGGGCCCAGCAGTGGCACAGCCCTCAGGCACCAAGAAGGCCACAGGGTGGGAGCCCAGATCCTGGGCATCAGTGTGGTGTTTGATAGCAACACAGGTCACGGACATCAGCACTGACTCAGACTGTGGTAGGACCACAGGCCAAGACTTGGTTCTTGGCAACAGCCTGAGCTCGGATGTCATCCTGGCCCTAGTTGGCATTGCAGATCATCAAGATTGGCATAGCCTCAGTGATGACATGGTCCCCAAACACCAACATGTGCCCAGGTGGCAGTCCAGACCCCAGACATCAACTCAGCCTTTGATTGTCACAAGACCTATGGACATCGACACAGACCTTGGCTGTGGAAGGGCCACAATTTTTTTTTTGTTTTGTCTTTTTTTTGACACCATTCACCATACAGCTGTCACACAGAGTCACAATATAGTACACTGGGTGTTTTGTTTTCTGATTTTTTTTTAAAGTCATGTTCGGTTTATCAGGAACATAAAACAGATTTTAAGCATTACTTTATTTCTGAAATCGAGAGAATTACACAATTTGAAAATACACCTTATGGAGTGTCAGCTTCTGCTCTGAGGAAGAGGGATAATATACCTCCTGGACTGGGGGTAGGACACAAAAGAGAGGGAAGCCCCACTGCAGATGGGATGGGGTGAATTCCAGCATTCTTTTTGAAGCACAGAACCATTCCTAAGTGCCCTGGGTGCTTCATACTGTAGGAGCATTGGGAACAGAAAGATAGACTTTTGCTACCTGCTTCCCATGAATTCCTCGAATAGTCTCTTAGGAAGTTTCTGTCAGAGTCCAAAGTTAGACCCAGAGACCCAGGATGGGCAGACTTAGCTCTATTATGGGGGGGGGGGGAACTGGTTCTTCCTAGGGACTTGTCCTATCCTCCTTCCGCACTTGCGGTCTGACAAATTAGGAGTTGGGGATGTGGGCAGCATGGTAGCGGGACAGACAAGCATGTGTGGGTCAGGGCAAACCTACCACACTACTTGGGAAATGCCTGCAATCTGCAGGGCACACCGATGCACCACTGACTGAAAACAAATGGGGACAAATGTACGGAGAATTCATCTCTTTATTGAAAATGCAGATGCTGAGGGGATACAGGTGTGAGAGGTAGCGGCAGCAAAAGCTTCTGAGCATTTGGCTCCTGGGTGAGGGCGGCTCTCTAGGACTTCTCCACAGTCTTCAGAAAAGAAGCACCTCTGCATATTTTAGCTTCTGATCTCTCTTGTATTGTTCTCGCCTCCCCTTAAACCAATTCTACAAGCCAGAAGGAAAAAAAAACTGATTCATTAGGATAATCAGGACACAATCTAAAAACACACCATGGGGTGTTAGCTGGTCCTATATTTTATACCGCACAGAAGAACCTGCTGTCTCACTGCCCTAATTCTGTGAGGGGCTGAGGGGCTGGCGCCGGGTCCAGTGCTTGCCTACAATGTGGGAGGCCCTGGTTTCCACCCCAGCACTGCAAAATCGTCCCTGGAGAAGTGTCCAGATGTTGCCTGTCTTTCTCCCTCTCTACAGTAATCCACTGGAGGATGTTAGCAGTATTTTCAGGCAGATGCACCAGTGTGCTTCAGACAATCATAATGCTGGGTGCCCTAATCTGTTTGGCTTCACCAGGCGCTTCAAACAGCAGGAGGAGGACAGGGCATTTGGACTCTATGCTTCCCCCATTCCCATCAGCCTCTGTTTAACCAAGTTTACATCCGCATTATGAGTGCTGGGTTCACCCTGTGTACTATCCATACACCCAAGTTACCCCTGTAAGGATAGAATTTGTATTTAGTTTTCAGTATTTCAAACAATTTAGAATCAAGGAACACCTTGATCCCATTTAAATTAATTCAAAGTAAATTTGAATTAATTTGAATAATTTATAATTATAATCCTAGTGGGATGTCTCTACAGACACATATCTGAAGGATATTAGCATTACAAGGAGTTACACACAGCATTTCTATATTAATATGCGATTAACACAATAATTAATGCAGAAATTGTATTCATATTTTATGTTAAAACACACATTCATAATTTATCTATAGGATACATGTATGTGTCATACATATATGTCTAGGGAGTGAAAGTAGGTTAATACTATTCTGTGTTCCCTTTGGAAGTTGTGCTTCATCTTGAAATGAGCCATTTTTAGTTGGTTGGATTTTCTTATCCCATTTTATGCCCACAGAGAACATAAAGCTCAAAAGTCATTTCAAGGGGCCTGTAGGGATCTCTAAGAGTTTAAAGTACTTGCTGCTCCTGTGAAGGACCTGAGTTTGGTTCCTATCACCTATATAAAGTAGCTCAGGACCACATGTAATCCAAGCTCCAGGGGATTTGACCCTCTCTTCTGGCCTCTGAGGGTAGCTGCATACAGACACAGACACATCTATACACATGAATTGTTAAAACATCTTTTTAAAACATGTTATTTTGAAACATAATGTGGTTTTAAAAAAACACGACACAACAACTCTACCCACAGGACAAAAGTATTCAAGATAAGAAGCAAATTCTAGAATAGTTGTCTTGCCAGATTATCTTCCCCTTACCTGAACTCTAGCTTCACTCACGCCTATCCATCTTGCCAGCTGTTTTCTGAAGGAAAAAATGGCAGATGTTCAGTACTGGGCATCTTGGATAAAATAAAGTATATGAAAGATACTTTATATTTGTTTTTAAATGTTTGTCCCATCCTTCACCTACTGGGACATTCACCTTGAAGATTTTGAGATTTAAAAAATTCTACTGGTGCGTGGTGGTGGTGGCGCACGCCTTTAATCCCAGCACTTGGGAAGCAGAGACAGAGGCAGATGGATCTCTGTGAGTTCGAGGCCAGCCTGGTCTACAGAGCGAGTTCCAGGACAGCCTGGCCTATACAGAAAACCCCTGTCTCAGAAAAAAATAAACAAAAGCTGCTGGTAGTTTTGTTTTACTATCATCCACCATTAGCAGACATTAAAACACATCATGTCCCTAATAAGAATTTTGAAAAAGCACTAATCTGGACAGCTTAAACCTCCAAAGAAATGTCCCTAACATCAAGTGAGGTGGTTCAGAAGACTTTCTCAATGAATAAAAGAAAAGCTACAAAACAAACACAAATAGGAAAAACCTGTGTGAGGCATTCTGTCCAGATTGAAGGGTAAGTACGAATAAAGGAAGATAGATTAATGGGGGGACATCTGAAGATTTCTAATGTCCAATTAACTCATGAGAATGTCCAGCCTGCTGACCACCAGGGAAATGAAATACCACGTTTATTTGTTGAATTTATTTAGTGTGCATTAGTGCATGCATTCTGTAGGTGTAGGGGTGTGTATACCCGTGCTCTGATGCACCTGTGCAGGTCAAAGGCAACTGATGGGTGTTGGGTCTCTCCTTCCACCAAGAAAGTCACCCTCTATTATTTTAATCATTCAACTTTTCACCCGTCTTTAAACAGGACCTTACTCTTATAAAAGTCATTGCCCCAAGTTTTCCACTCTGATTCACTGAAATAATGTAAGAAAATACCTCCATTCCCATTGTCTTAGTTAGGGCTACTATTGCCCTGAGGAAAACCCCAAAAGCAAATTGAGGAGGAAAGTGTTTATTTGGCTTACACTTCCAGATCATCATTGGCGGAAGTCAGTACAGGGAGTCAAATAGAACAAGAACTTAAGAGACAGGAGTTGATGCAGAGGTCATGGAGACGAGCTGCTTACTGGCTTTCTCCTTAGGAAATCCAGAATGACTGACTAGCCTAGGGATGGCCCCACCCACATGCTCTGGGCCCTCTCACATTAATCAATAATTAAGAAAATACCCTACAGGCTGGTCTACATCCTGATCTTAGGGAGGCGCTTTCTCAGTTGAGGTTCCCATCTCTCTGATGCCTCTAGCTTGTGCCAAATTCACAGAAAACTAGCCAGCACGCCCATTTTGCACGACTCTTACCACTACCCCCAGCACACTGGTGCAGGATGCAGGAGTCTGGCAGCCTTGGTTTGGGAAGTGGTTTTTATTTACATAGGGTAAGAGATAGGCTGATAGGGTAGGAGATAGGCTGAGGAGATAGTACAGAAAGGTAAAGGTGAGTGCCGGCAAGTCTGAAAGCCTGAGGTTGATCCTGGGACTCATGTGGTGGAAGGAGAGAAGGGACTAACTCAAGTTGTATTCTGCCCTTCACACACGCCAAATGACACTAACACCCACAGAAGCGCATTCCCACACCCACACATAAAACCAAGCAAATGAATGAATAAGTAACATGCAGTTTTTAAGGAGTGGTAAAGGAGGAGGACCAGGGAGAGAGCCAAAAGTCACCCTGGGCCACCACGTGCTCGCAGGAAACAGGGTTTCAGGCTACGCTATCTGCTTACCTTAGTTCTGCACTGATGTAGTGATTTTGCTGGAAAAACCGCTCCAGCTCCTGCAACTGCCACTGGTTGAACTTGTAGTGGAAGCAACGCTGGCGCACCAGGACGGACACAGGTTGTACACATTCTGTAACCTCCATGTCCCTGCGGACGGGCTCTTTTGGCTGCTTCTCTTTCTCCGGGTCACTGCGGCTGGTGCCCTGGTCCTCTTGTTTCAAGTTATCCATGAGGCCTGAGGCACCGGCAACTGAGGGACCTTCTCCACTGAATTCTTCTGCTCCTTCCCCTTCGGCTGCGGCGGCTCCAGCCTGGCCCTGACCACTGTCTTTTTCCATTCTTCCCTCTCCAGTCAGAAAGAAGATCTGTGCTTTTCCACCTGGAAGTGGAGAGACAGAGAAAGGCCAGGAGTTAGAGCCCAGGGTGACCTGAGGGCACCGTGAAGTCGCAGCGAAGCCAGCAGTGCACAGCGCCTGTCTAGTCGTCTCGGTGGGACACTCCTCCCCTCGTGGACATCTCCGATCCACCTTTCCCAGCACACACTGACCATTCCGTTTTTCTTCATCCTTATCAAGTCCCTCATAAAGCAGGTAGTTGGTGTCTCGGCGATCCATGTCCTGAATGCTCACTAACAGCTTGCCTCCGGAGATTCTGGGTTGGAGCTCCTGCGCTTACGAAAGCCGAAAGCCGAAAGCCGGTGCCTCTCAACCAGGAAGAGTTCTCTTTTGGCCCTGGGGGCCGGTAGTACAGGTCACCAACTATCCAATCATGAGTGTGCTATCCTGGCTTCCATTTGACCTCCAGCTGCTATGGGTTGAGCCCCCGAAGTGCAAAACAGAGCCGTTTGGTGCCGCGATGAGCAGAATATGTTTGCCTGGAAGGCACGGTCCTTGGGTTTGTAGGGATGCGGACAAGACTCTCCAAGTCGCCAGGTCGCCTTGGTGAATTATCTTCCTAGGGAAGGCGTGATAGTCATCTGTGCTAACAGACTTATATTGAAGAAGAAAAGCTCTGGAGGCTCTGGAGAGATGTTTGTAGATTATCACTTAGTTAGTTGGGGGTGCTTTTTCACAGCCTTAATCACTGTGCTCTGGGAATCGAAGAAAGTGGATTTCTGTGAGTTCCAAGCCAGTCTGGATTATACAGTGATTTCCCGGCCAGCCAGAACCACAGTGAGAGAATTCCTTCTCAAAGCCTAGTAGTTCACCTGTTACTTGACAAAAAACAGATTGTCCCATGAGGTCTTTTCCTTTGAGTTTTCATAGAAAGCGAATTTAGAGTCTGTTATATTTGTATTGTCTGTCTTTATGGGAGCTGGGGCATGGATTGGGGTTTACTAGGACCGTTAAGCCTTTTTTGTTCTATTAAGTACTGTTGAACCTGTGAGAATTGTTATACCTGGGCTGAGGTTCCTCACCTTTCTCTTGAACACATTTCTGACGTCTTCTGTGAATGGTCAAAGTGTCAAGAACAGACTTTTATGCCTGGTTTCCACCCCAGAGTCAAGTAGCCCCTTCACTGGCATGTGGTCAGACTGGTCCCAAGGCAGCCAGCTTTTCCCAGCATGTTCTGGTCAGTCTGAGAGTAGAAAGAGCCCCAGACAATTATGGTATCTCCAGGAAGTTCCTTTTGTAGGGTACCGGAGTAGGAATTCTTCTCCCACGAAAAGATATACCTCAGAATTCCGGAACTAATACATAAATTAGTATTATGTATTAGATTAATACATAAATCTATGTATGTATGTTTCCTCCCCTTTACTCTTTGCTGTGTAGCCCGAAGCTGCTGTTGTCAAGGTAAACAGAGCCTGGGAATTTTTTTCTCTCTAATTCTGGTAAAGATTGCAAAGATAACCACATCTGTGTTGAGCATGTAGCTTACTGCGGAGAGCCCTGACCTAGCACGCACAACACTATTTACGGCTACTTCCCAACACTGTATAAAGCCAGCACGGAGTCTTAGCTTGTAATGCCTGAATGCCTGTAATCTTAGCACTCAGGAGGTAGAGACATAAAGTTTAGAACGTCACCTTCAGCTACAGAATTTGTTTGAACCGAGCTAGGGACACATGCACTGTTTAAAAAAAAAAAAAAAAAAAAAAAAAAAAAAAGCAAACTCCATCTCCTCCCCAAATTCCAATATTGCCACTTTTAAATAAAGTAGTGGGCAATGGACCTGATTTAGTTTTTAAATTCACTGAGATATGCTTCTTGTCTTAATATGTGATCTATCATGAAAAGTGTTCCTAGTATATTTGAAAAAGTGCACTTTACTGCTTGTGGTTCCAATGCACGAAGGAGTTCTAGCTGGCTAGAACTATTGATTTCTTTTCCCCCTTGGCAGCTTACACAGCACCTTTGGAGACTATGAAAGCCAGTCTTTGCGGAGCGGGGCTTTCATGTCAGTTCCAGTGGTATTTCTGCAAGTCCTGTGTGTGAAGTGTCACGTTTCCAGCAATGCGGACTAACTGTTGCTTCTCGAAGGCCACTGAAAGCAACAACATTAGCCTGACGACTTTCAGGTTTTCGCACTCTCTCCAACTGCCCTGGCCAACAACTTGAAATGGGGCTTCTCATGCCTGATATTGGGGTTTTTGTTATATAGTCTATACCTCTTGGGGGGAGCATTGTCAGCCCGAGTGGGATAACTGAGCTTAGAAAATATATTTTTCCTAAGCTAGTCTAAGTGCTCGTGCACATGCGCACGCGCGCGCGCGTACACACACACACACACACACACACACACACACACACACACACTTATATATCCTAAGCATGTATATGCATGCTTATACACATACACATAGACTTAGATGTATTATGTGTAATTTTAGGTAAACAATTCCTTTTTTTTCCAGACATCCTTAGTGTTGTTTTACCCTCTCTCTCTTTCTTTAATGACCCCCCTCTCCACTCCGCAATTAAAGACCACATTTTCCCATTTCTCTCATTTGTGTACTGCTGTTCTTTAGTGCTACCCCCTCCATGGTCCCTTTTTGCTTTGCTGGTTCCTGCGGTTACTCCAGGATACATGCTTCCATCTGAAGATTTGGAGCTTGGAGCCTCACATGAGGGAGACCACGCTTCATTTGTCTTTCTGGGTCTGGCTTATCTCGCACAATATAATATTCCAAGTTTCATCCACTGTAGATTGAATACTTTCATCTTTTTTACAGACAAGTACTGTGGTATAGTGTGTCTGTACTACATTTTCACGATCCACTCATCACTTGAAGGACATTTAGGTTGTTCCCATTTCCCAATATTATGACTAGGGCCACCGAGAACACGCCTGAGCTCGTGTCTGTGGAATAGGACGTTTTGGCCATATGCCAAGGAGTGGTATAGCTGGGTCCTCTAGTAGATTTCATTTTAGCTTTTTGAGACTTCTCCACGCTCATTTTCAGAGCGGCAACGGCAGTTTGTCTCACCTACGGTGAATGAGGCTTCCCTTTCCCATATCATCAGCAGCATTTGCTGGCAGTTCTTCTCGGCAGTTTAGCTGTTCTGACTGGGGGAGATTATTTTCTTTCTTTTCCCCCAAAAGCAGTTTTATTTATACAGTCCTAACCAGCTCAGTGGCAGCAGCAGTGGGAGAGGGTCCATCTTCAACCCAGGGGCCTCTGTGATGTTGGTTTGTTGTCGTCAAACACACAGGCAAGTGGCATCCTGGATTTGGTAAAGTGATGACCACGTTCAGTCTCTCTCCGCTAGAGCAACAAGGTGAGCGTCCATCTCTGCTTCTGAGAAAACCCTGAATTTAGGATTTTCGGCTGTATCTACTCCAACTTCTATTTCTGAAGGCTTGAAGTCAATCGACAGAACAGCAGACAGGCATGTGATTGCAGTTTCCACTGTTTGTTCAACTGTCCAATCAAATTTCTTCTTCAATTTTTTTTTTCTAGGAAGCTGGTTGACTCTGTCTGTGTGTAGACTTGAGAAATATCAGCGATTCTTTTACACAGCATGTCCACAGGAATCTCATAGCCGTACTTGTATTTCCAGTTAGCTGCCTCATAGCGTGCCCTCTGTACCTGGGGTCAGCTGTCAGCTGTCATCCCGGTCATCACACAGCCAATGTTCTCAGTTATCTTGAACAAGTGGATCACCGTGCTGGAATCCAGTAATTTGTCGGGTACTTTCTTCTGCGTGACAATTACTGCACAGTCTTTTCCTCTGACGGCCACAGATGTGAGTCCGCCCTGGTTAATAGCCTTAAAAGCATATTCTACTTGGTAGAGTCAGTCCTCAGGAGAGAAAATAGTAATGTGGCGGTCAAAACCGGTGTTGGACCCACAGGACATGGAGTACCCTCTATTTCAAACACAAAATGCACCCCGTAGCACACACTCCAGGCACACAAACCCCTCCTGGAAGTAATGGCTGGTGAGACTATTTTCAAAGTGGTTTTCATTTGAATTTTTCTAATTGTTGAGGATATTGAACACTTTTTGAGATTTTCTTTAATTATTTTTTATTTCTTATTCTGAGAGCTCTCTGTCCAGATCCATAGCCCATTTTTTACTTTGGATCATTTGTTTTCTTGAGTTTAGTGGTTTTATTATTTGTGTGAGTACTTTGTACATTGGATATTAGTTGTTTGTCAGATGTACTGCTGACAAAGATTCTTATTCACTTTAAGGGCTTCCAATGCAATCCGAATCAAAATTCCCACATCCGTTACAGAATTAGAAAAAAAAATCTTGATTATTTCATTTACTGTAAGAAGACTTTCATTTTATGAGTTTCCATTTGTCAATTGTTGATGTCAATTCCTGAACAAATGGAATCCTATCCAGAATGTCTTTTCCTATGCTTATATCTGTGAGGTAATGCCAATGTTTTTTTCCCCAGTAATTCCAGCATTTCAGTCTTCATTCTGGGGGCTTTAGTCGCTTAGTCCATTTGGCATTAATTTTTGTTCCTAAACATTTTATTTTCTTTCAGGCCAGTGCAAATGGGAGTATATCCGTGAGCTCTTTCTCAGCATCTTTGTTGGTGGTGTATATGCAAGGCTACCAGCTTGAAGTAGGTTTTGGTTTGTTTTGTTTTTTGAGACAGAGTTTCACCTTGTAACCCTGACTAGCCTTGAATTTACTATGTAGACCAGGCTGGCCTCAAAATCACAAAGATCCCCCCTGCCTCTGCCTCCTGATTGCTGGGATTAAAGGTGTGCGCCACCACCATTTGGCCTAGTTTTGTGATTTGATTTTGTTTCCTGCCACTTTGTTGATCTTTTTTATATATGCCTGTATTTGGCTTGCCAGCACTTTTTCTTTATTCCCATAAAAAGTTTAGGCAATGCAGTGGCAGTAGCTTTCTCTAAACCCAGTTCTGATGAAATTCAGTGTGGGGTGGAGGTACAAAGTTCCCAGGGATAACTGGCTGAACTGGGGAGCTCCAGGTTCAGGGAGAGACTCGATCTCAAAAAAATAAGGTAGAGAAACAGGCAGTGGTGGTGCATATCTTTAATCCCAGCACTTTGGAGGCAGAGGCAGGTGGATCTTTGTGAGTTCAAGACAATCCTGGACTACAGAGTGAGTTCCAGAACAGCTAGGGCTGTTACACAGAGAAACCTAGTCTCAAACCCCACACCTCCCTCCCCAAAAGCTAGAGAACAATTGAGAAAGACACCTGACATGAACATCTGGCTTCCACATGCACAAGCACATGTACACCCTCACCAACACATGCATACATACCCTTCATGCACATCACTAGAAAGAAAAATCAATAATGTTATTTGGAGGTAAGATACTAGCTCCCATTTTGAACTCAGTTTATTTGATTTTGAAGTGCTCTCTGATTCACTAAAGTCTTTGGCCTAGAATTGAATTTTATCTCTTATCAAGGTCATGGGAAATTCTTTGGATTTTACTTGTCTGTCTGTATATTTTTCTAGATTTTGCTTTTAAAATGCTTTTATGTATGTGGGGGTTTTGCCTGCATGAATGTCTGTCCACCAAGTGCATGTAGTACCTGAGCAGTCCAAAAGAGGGTGCTGGATTCCCTAGGACTGGAGTTACAGATGGGTGTGAGCTACCATGTGCTTAGAGGGCATGAGCAAGTTGGTCTCTGATTCTTTTCTTGTCTTTTCTTTAACTTTTATTGATTCTTTGTGGATTTCATACCACACACTCCAATTCCAATTATCTTGCACCCTTATCCTCACATCTGCCTTCTGCTCATGCAACGTCCTCCCAAAATGAAACCAAATTTAAAAGAAAAAAAAAACAAACCAATCCAAACAAAATGAAACAAAAAAGGAGAATAATCTTGTAGTGGAAGCTGTAGTGTGGTCTGTTGAGTCACATGTAAACAGAGACTGCACTTTCATTTCCTGGCTGCCCAGACTTGAATAATCACACAGAAACTATATTAATCACAACACTTTTTGGTGGATGGCTCAGACATATTTCTAGCTAGCTCTAACATCTTAAATTTACCCATTTCTATTATTTGTCTATGTATTGCCATGTGACTGTAGTATTACCCCATTTTTTATATGTCTCGTTACTTGGTAGCTGCTTGACTCTGCCTACTCTCTCTCTATATATATATCTCTGTTCTGCTAAGCCCCTGGCCGAACAGCTTTAGTCATCAACCAATAAAAGCAATACATATACAGGACATTCCACATCACCCACACAGTTTTACCCTTTAGTTCATTCATCTTTACTTGTAAGTGTTCATTGCCATGAGACATTGGTCTGGCTCAAGGCATCTGGCTTCTGCTATACCACCAATAATGGACCCTCACTGGAACTCCTCTTGAATATTCTGTTGTTGTTCTATGTCATGGAGATCCTGCCGTTTTGGATTTGTATGTTTGTCCCCTTTACATGCACCAACAGTTCCTAGATGATGAGGTGGATGTGGAGGTGGGCCAACTCATAATCTTAATTCTGGGCCTGTATGGGGGCTAGGTTGGCCAACCCGTCAGCTTTCCCTCAGCGTCACTACCTGGGTGAGCTCTCCAGCACTGCCTTGGCTTGTTCACCCAATGCAGCCTGCAGAAAGGTGAAGGGCCAGTTCTCCTGCTCTCAGGTCCTCAGATCCTGGTCACCCACACTCACACCACCAAGACTAACTCGACTGTTTTGCCCAGGAGAGGTGCAGGGCCCTCTCTCTTGATTGCTGTAGGGGGCATATGGGGCAGCGGGGGTGGGGGTGGGGTTCAGCTCTCCTGCTCTCACGCCCTCAGGGCTGGTTCACCTGCACACTCAGCAACAGGATCAGTGTTGCCCAGGTGGAGTGCATGGGCTGCTCTTTTGTGAAGGCAGGACGAGTGCCCTCACTCTCATAACCCAGGGCCAGCTCTCTCTCATAGCAAGGGGCGGAGCAGAGGGGGGGCGAGGGCATCTTTCTCTCACTTATGCCACCAAATGGCAGACAAAGGGGACAGGGTGAGATCTGTTGCTCCCACACTCTTAGGGCTGCCTCACCTGCATCTCTGTCGACCGGGATAACTCTAAGTGTTCTGTCTTTGTATATTTGTCTCATAAGTCACGTTTGAAACAGGCTTTTTTTGCTGGCTGCATATATGTTAGCTATGTGCTCTAGGTCCTGAGAACAAACATCACACCAAACGCTCTCTTGGCACCCTTAAGTGAAGGATGTCGCTCTTGCCTCTCTTGCGAGCATCGGCCTGTGCTTCCAGGACTATAAGTGTGGGGCAGAGCACAGCAGGAGGTACAAGCAGCTGGGGTATTCAGCTGGAACCTCCAGCTCACTCCTGCTTGATCCAGAAAGCCCCATTCCTCTCTCTCCAAACCCCACCCTCTCAGAGAACCTCCAACAAAGAAAAGTCACCAAAAAGCCCAGTTCTGCATTCTTGGTGACTGTGGCAGCTCCCCCTGAAGTTGCCAGTAACCCAAGAACCCGCCTAAAGTGGTCAGTTTTTGACCATACTCAGGCACAAATGCAGCTTGTGGAGGACACATCATCACCCTTCCCCTTCAGAGATATATGCTTCCTGCTTTAGTTTGGCTGCATGATTTCTCTTCCCTGATCTCTGGGACTGGAGAACTCACCCAGGAGTTGCTTTCCTCAAATAAACCCTTTCTTTTACCTTTTCTGTTCAGCTTGATTTAGCTTACCGTGTTGGCAGAGAAACCTATGCTTGCGCTGGAAAACCCATTCCTGGGTTCTGAGTTTAACAGAGCAGCTACTGAAGAACTACAGCCCTGAATGGGGTGGGGGCATGAACTTTTGCATCAGTAATATGAAGTCGTTGGGGACCATGGGCTTTGGGAGTAGAGATACCTGCTTCTTCTCAGTGTTCCTCCACATCATCACATCATCTGTGACTCTGGATGATTCCAGGCATGAAGAACCACAAGGTGGCTGCAGTAATGTAGCACACTCGGTGTTTCTTGAGTTTTTAAAGGCTATCTCATTTACCAGAAGCTATTTAAGAAGTTACGGTATTGAAAAAAATAAAGATTTAAAATACTAGTCTCATTCTGAAACTGTGAGAAGGTATCTTATGTGTCAGTCAGCGTATGCTCTAGAGTAGAGGGACAACATGTCTGCTGGGTTTAGGTCAGGGGACAAAAGAGAGAAACTTCATTATGGACTGGGTGGGATGGGTTCTTCTCTTCCCTTCGAAGCAGCAAGACTCTGGCAAAGTGACTGAAATGCCCTGTGTTTGCCATGGAAAGGGATAGAAGAGAAGATCTTTGCAGAGCAACCTAAATTAAAAGACGCTGGGCTGCTTCCCAAGAATCCTGTGAATGGCCTATATAAGCAAATTTCTCAGAGATCAGGGTTAAATTAAAATTCTGAGTATGACCAGAGTCAGCTCTATCTGGATAAACACCGTCTCTCCCTAGGGTCTTCTTGTCTTGAATCTCTTGTATATTTTTTTGTCCTAAATGGTGGGAGAAGGGGTAATCCCAGTGTGACAGGTGAATAAAAAGGAATGTGTGGGTCAGTGAAAACCTACTATGCAATTTGTAAAGCTCTTGAAATATAAAAGGCCCGCATAAGGTAGAATGGCAATTTCATCTCATGCAAGGTGGCCTTGTTACTCTGTTTAAAGGAAGTTTCTTCAATAGCTTACACACACATTTTACTAAACCAGAAAGCACATGAAACAAACTTATTGAGAATCTACAATCTTTATTGAAATATAAGTGCATTGGAGATAAGAATATAACAATATATTGTTGGTGACAGAAAAGAAATCCGCGTATCTGGCACCTGGTGATGGTGGCACTTTAGGTCTCCCCCACAATCCTCAGAGAAAGAGGTTATGGGAAGCTGGAGAACCTCTGAGTGCTCACAGCCTCATATACCTGCTGTGTTGTTCTCTCCTCTTCTGAAACCATCTCTACAGTGATTGGGGAAAACGAAAAGGTTCAGTGTAGTAAACTTTAAGGACCACAGCTGAAAAAGCTGTCATGTAACTTTACATATCAGTGATAATTTATACCGCACAGAAGAACCTGCTGTTTCACTGCCCTATTCTGTGAGGGGCTGAGGGGCTGGCGCAGGGTCCAGTGCTTGCCTAGAATGTGGGAGGCCCTGGGGTGAATGTTTCCACCCCAGCACTGCAAAATCATCTCTGGACAAGTGTCCAGATGTCGCATGTCTTTCTCCCTCTCTACAGTAATCCACTGGAGGATGTTAGCAGCATTTTCAGGCAGATGCACCAGTGTTTACATAAACTTTATGAGTGCTGGGTTCAGCCTGTGAGCTATCACCTCACTTAAATTGCTCCTGTAAGGATAGAATCTATACTTCGTTTTTAGTATTTCAAATAGTTCAGGATCATGGAGCAACTAGTCACATTAATTTGAATAATTTATATATCACAAACCCAGTATGATTCCACAGTGAAACCCCACCCAAAGGATATCAGTATTTACAACAAATTGCAAATATGGAATATCTATTTATTTATCTAGATGTAATTAATATATCTGTATATATGCTATATACCTATTTTATAAGTTAAAACGTGTATGCTCATAATTTATTCATAGGATACATGTATGTGTAACATATATGTGTCTATGGAGTAAAAGTAGATTTTAGTATTACTCTTTGTTTCTTTCAGAAGTTATGTTCCATTATGGGATGTGTCCTTTCTGTAGGGAGGCTTCATTATTTCATTTCTACTCACAAAGACTATAACGCTCAAAAGTCATTATGAGGTCCAGGATGCTCAGTGGTTAAGAGCACTTGAGGCTCTTGCAAAGGACCAGAGTTTGGTTCCCAGCACCTATTGTGGGTGATCACAACCACCTGTAACTCCAGCTCTAGGGGATTGACGCATCTTCTGGTACTTGCACACATGTTATATATGCACACAGAGACATACACATAATAAAATTAGAAAAAAAATTAAAAATAATTTTCAAACAGTGTTATGCCAACAGCAAAATAATTTCATAGATAAGATAAAAGAGCCCAAGACCTAAAGCAAGTTCCAGAATGACTGTCCTGACAAATGGCTTTCTTCAGTTTACTGACCTTCACCACGGCTTCACTCACACCCATCCATCTGGCTAGTTGTTTTCTGAGGGTAAAAATAGAAGATGTTCAGTATTTAGCATTAGAGATGAAATAATATGTGAAGGCTATTTCATATTTGTTTTAAAATATTAGGCTCATCACTCACCTTCTGTGACATTCATCTTTAAGATTTTGGAGCTTTAAACAAATTCTACAAGCATTTTTTAAATGTACCATTCATAGACATGAAAACCCAAGCATGACCCCAATAAGCAATTTTAAAAGCACCAACACAGGCACCAATAACCTCAAAAGAAACGTTCTTAAAAGTGGGTGTGGTGGTGTAGGAAACTTTGTCTCTAAAAACAAAAGAAAACGAAACAAAGAAAAAGCTACAAAGCAAATACACAAGCAAAACCCTGTCTGAGGCCCTTTGTCTGGACAGAAGGATAAACTCAAAAGAGGATGGATAAATAAAGAGCACATGAGGATTTTTAATATTCAGTTCATGTGTGAGGATGTCCAATGTGATTCATCATTGGGGGAAATATTACCTTTATTTTAGTTATTTGCTGTGTGTGTGTTTGTGTGTGTGTGTGTGTGTGTGTGTGTGTGTGTATACACATGCACTTGTGCCCCAGAACCACAGGAAACAAAGGGAGGCTAAAGGACACCTGATGGAAGTTAGTTTCCTTCTTCTTCCACGGATGTGGATTCTGAGGGTGGAACTCAGGTTCTCCAGCTTGGCGGCAACTGCTTTTACCCCCTGAACATCTCACTAGCCCCAGGAAATAAAATATTTAAAGCACAACAGACAGAAAGGGAACATTAGAGAAACCTTCCAGAATACCCTTCCTGAATTCCTAGAACAAGGGAGGCTCAGGTAAGGAGTCTTTGCAAGTTCCAGGCCAACCAGGACTACAGAGTGAGATTACCCCTCAATAAATAAGAATAAACAGAAAAAAAACCCAGAAAAGCTGGAGCATGCCTTAGATCTTAGTCCAATATTAAATTTTGTTTTTATGAACCCTTTTCTCTGGAAAAGGTAGCAAAAAGGGAGGCCAAAAATAGGAGGAGAAAGTTGGGATCAGGCTTGGTAGTACATTTAAACCCAGCACTTGGGGGGCAGAGGTGGGTGCTTCTCTGGCTTTAAGGCCAGTCTGCCCTACTGGCCTCAAATGTGAGTTTCAGGCCAGGGAAGGATTCATAGTGAGACCCTGAAGGTGGGGGTTAAGGAGAGAAATGTTCCAATGAGTTCATAATTATAAAAATTACAAAAAATACAAGATGTGCAGAATTATGTAAACTTTTGATAAGAGAAGGATGTCACTCTGTAGTATCCCAAACATACCTCAGGCTTGCACGCCTCTTTTAAGAGGACTTTACTAATATAGCAGACATGACCTGAAGTTTTTCACTTGATTTATTTACATATTATATAAAATACATTTATTCCCATTTTGCACGACTCATAGTTTCAGAGGGTGAGTCCACGACCAATACCATAGGAAGCAAGGCAGCAGGTAGGCAGGCATGGCACTGGGGCAGTAGCTGAGCACTTATATCTTTATCAACAAGCACTCAGCCCAGGATGGTGTTAACTGGGAATGCTGTGGGTCTACTCCAGAATTATAGTGTAGGACACAAGATCCAGCAGTCTGAATTTTTTCAGGAGTCTATTATTTCAAGAGGACAGTGTTTTGGGGGACTGACAAGATTGCAAACTGGGATACTGCTGGCCTGCAAGCCTGACGACCTGAGTTTGATGCATCAACTTACATGATGGATGATATAACTTACTCCTACAACTGTCCTCTGACCTCCACATGTGCCAAATGGTGTGTATGCACGTACACACACATACACATACACACACACACCCCACACTCACTCACTAATGTACACCAACAAATAAATGAAGCTAAATAAATAATATGTAATTTTAAAAAACGACGGCATATTGGGGGACCAAGGAGAAAGTCAACTGTCATGGGATACCAGCGCATGCTCTCCTTAAGTAAGGCATCAGGCCAGGCAAAATCCTCACCTTGCTTGAACGCCGAGGGAGCCATTGATCTGGAAGATGCGCTCCAGTTCCTCCAACTGCCACTGAGTGAATCGATGGCGTAGGCGACGTCGAGGCACCTGCCTTGGCATAGACTGCACTCTCTCCCCACCATCAGGAATCGGCACCGATGGCACTCTTTCGCCATCCACACGATCAGGAATCAGCTCCTGTGGTTGCTGCTCACTCCCCTGGTCTCCTCTGGTATCACCATCTTTTTTGTTCATGTCATCATCTACGGGGCCTGAAGTGCCAGCAGCAGAGTGACTTTCGCCATTTAATTCCTTTTCTCTTTCCGGTTCTGCTGCTATGGCTCCCCATGCTGGCTGACCCTGTCCACTCTCTTCCTCATTTCTTCCGTCTTCAGCGGGTAAAGCCTTCGTACCTGGAAGTGGGGAAACAAAAAGATGAGGCATCAGGTGGGCGGGGTGCTCAGCATAGGTGTAAAATCACGACGAAGCCAGAAGTGTGCTGTGCCGTATCCAATCGTCTCTCCAGAACCCTTACTCTCATGGAGATTTTTAAACCACCATTTCCAACCATTCACTGATCATTTCCTCCTATCCTCTCACTCTCATCAACTCCCAGATTGAACAAGTAGCTGATCTTATAACATTCATACCTTGAACGCTGTCCATTTTTTGTTCTACTTCTACCGACTGAGACGGAATCTCCGAACGTTCTGTGAAAGAGTAGAACTGTGACCCTTGACCTGGAAGAGATTTCTTCCCACCTATTCCATATATACAATGTGTCCAGTTACAGATGTACTGTCCTGGCTTCTTATGGGTTGATCCCTGAGATGCCTACATAAGAGCAGCTTGATGCTTCAGTGAGCAGCATGTTTTTGAAGGAAGGGCATGATTCTTAGGAAAGTAGACCAGATATGGCTTTTAAAACAGCATCTCAGCTAAGTCCTCTGACCTTGGTGAATTATCTTTCTAGAGAAGGGGTGGTAGTCAACTACAGAAAATAAATTTTAGGGCGTAAGAAGAGATTCCTTAGTAGCTCTGGAGACATTGCGGACATTTTGGAGAATTGCCTCTTGGTCTAGTGTCCCACATTAGGCCCTTGGTAGTTGGCAGAGACAATAAATGAATGTGATTATCTAGGAGGCCTCTGCCTTTGAGTTTTTGCAGAAAGTGAAGCTAGATCCTGGGGTGGCTTTAATGCTAATGACCCCTATAGACTTATATATTTGAATGCTTGTTCTCCAGTTGGTAGAACTATTTTGGAAAGATTGGGAGATATAGCCATGTTACAGGAGGTCTGGCCTTGTTGGAAGAGGCATGTTGTTGGAGGTGGGCTTTGAAGTCTCAAAAGCCCACGACATTTGCAGTTATCACCACCCCCGCTGAGTGCTTGTTGATGAAGATGTAAGCACTCAGTTACTGCTCCAGCACCATGCCTGCCTGCCTGCTGCCTTGCTTCCTGTGTTATTGGTCTTGGATCCACCCTCTGAAACTGTAAGCAAACAACCAGCTAAATGCTTTCTTTTATAAGTATCTCTTCAAGCAATAGAAAAGTAACTAAGTTAGAGCCTGTCTTGCTTCCATGTTCTGCCTTTGCAGGAGCCTGGACAGGGTTGCAGGTCCTGGGGCTGTTCAGCAGGCAGATCGGTGGGCTCATCGTCACCAGGGCTACTGAGGAGGAGCTTAGTAGTACTGTCCAGCCTTCATGAGTGCTGGCAAAAGCTGTGAGAATACCTGTGCTGTGGTTCCTCACCTTTCTCTTGGATGCATTTCTGACGTCTTCTGTGAATGGTCAAAGTGTCAAGAGCAGGCCTTTATGCCTTGTTTTCACCCCATAGTAAAGCAGCCCCTTCACTGGCATGTGGTCAGACTGGTTCCAAGGCAGCCAGCTTTTCCCAACGTGTTCTGGCCACTCTTAAAATGGAAGGGCCCCTAAGTACTAGTGTGTGTCCAGGAACAGACTATTTGGGGCTGGGAATATTCTGGAGCCCTGGTGCTGAAATTCTTCCAGGATAAGACTTACCTCACAGTTCTGGTAACTACCTCACAACTAAATCTACATATTTGTCTTTCCTGAATTTTCTTTCCTCTTTGCTCTAAATACTGACATTGTTTTTGTCAAAGTATCAAGAATATGAGATTTTTCTTTCTAGTCTGACCAGAATAGTAAAAACATACATTTCTGAGCTGGGGTTGTAGCTCAGTTTGCATTAGTCCTTACCTAGCATGCCTAAAGGCACAGGATCCCTATGAGCTGCATAAAGCCAATATGATGTGTGCCAGTTCTGTAATGCTATCAGTTGAGGAGTTGGACGCTGTAATGCCAGAGTCATACTAGTCTACAAAGTGAGTTTGTGTTCAGTGAGGGACACATGACACTATCTAAAAATAGAAAATGACACTCTGTCTAAAAAAAGACAACCATTTCTTTCTACCAATTATGCTATTTCCATTTACAGTAAACAAGTGAGCAGGGGGCCTGATTTAATTGTTAAAATTCACTAATGTGTTTTTGTCTTATTATGTAATCTATGTGGAGAATGTTCCCTGTATGTCTGAAAAAAATGTGTATATTACTTCTTGTGGTTAGAATTTCCAGTTTACCTTTTAGGCTTTAATATAGTGAGTTCACATTGCCTTAGGATGCTCTATTTTTATTATATATTATTAAAAATGATATATTAAAATCTATATTGTTATAGAAATGTTCATGTCTCACTTCATATTATTATTCCAGGTGAGCTTTTTTAAAATGTTTTTTTTTGGCACAGAATTTCATGTAGTCTCACTAGTCCCAGAATTCCCTATACCTTAGGATAACCTTGTTCTTGTCCTCTTCTACCCCTCTCCCATTTTCTGGGATAATAACATTGCTACCAACATCCCCTGCTAACTTTTTGAATAATTGGTTATATAAGATATAAAATTATTCATTGACAGGGTTTTAAATTTTATTTTCAATGACTTAAATATGTTGTCCAAGGTACTTTATGACCTCCATGTTTTCTGATGGTACTCTTCATTATATTTATATGACACTGGATGTGATGCTACTTTTCTCTTGCTGTTATCAAGAACAAGTGAGCCTCAGTGTAAATATCAAGCTTACTGGGTTTTAAGGTGGTTAGGCTTTCTTGCATGACTAGTAATTTATCCCTTTACCCTATCATTTCTATATCCTATTCCCTTTTTTCTTTAGAAAGAGATCTTTGAATTTAATTCTTTAGTTGTTTTTTATTTGCTTGGGATAATGCTCTTGTACACTGTAAAGATTTGTCACTCATATTAGTTGAATAAAACACTGATTGGACAGTAGTCAGGCAGGAAATATAGGCTTGGCAACCAGACTAAGAGAATTCTGAGAAGAGGAAAGGGAGAGCGTGAATCACCAGTCATATGCAGAGAAAGCAAGATGAGAATGCCTCACTGAGTAAGGCACCAAGCCTCATGACTAAACTTAGATAAGAATTATGGGTTAATTTAAGTTGTAAGAGCTAGTTAGTTATAAGTCTGAGCTAATAGGCCAAACAGTTTATAATTAATATAAGTCTCTGTGTGTTTCTTAGGAACTGAGTGACTGAGCAACCAGGCAGAACAGAAAATTCTGTCTACATTGCCTATCGCAAATAACAACTTGTAACCAACCCTCCTTAAACGACAATAAACATCCATAACACATGTTTGGGAAGGTGGGTATAGTTCTCTAGACTATTTCCTGTTGTTTGGGGGGCACTAACATCTTATTTAAGGGAAACCTTAAATAAATCAGGATAGTTGTTAGCCAGTTCCTGGATAATCAAGAACTACTTCCTGCTGCTGGAGCTCCTTCTGCTCTTTCAGCCAATAGCCTTTGAGATACCAGCCCACTGGGGCATGGCCTCTTTCACTTTAAAAAGAAATGGCAGCCCTCTTCTCACTTTCTTGCTTTGGACTCTGGTTCTGGCGACTAGATTCCTTTCTTGGTCATATAGGATAGTGTTCTGTAAGTTTTTTTCGCCTCAGATAAATAACCATTTTAATAATAAGTCCAAACTGGTATGGGATTGTTTTGTGCTTTATCTGGCGCCCAATGTTTGGACTTAGAACCACCACCACCCCCCACCCCCACCCCCATTCCCCAGGTCGGCTGCCTGCTGCCAGCTTGGCTTGGCACAAGCCCTCCTTCAGCTGTGGCCTATGCGTGGAGTTAGTAGTTAAAAACTCCACACCTCCCAGGATACACAGGACCAGACAGTCTCTGTCGCATAGTTTGTTTTTTTCTGAGTGGGTTTTAAGAGCTGTGTTTGGGCAGCAGGAGTCAGAGTGCAAGCAACTGCAACATCTGGTAGAAGCACTGTTTGAAATACCCGCCACAGCGTTTGCATTTGCACTGTGACCTTTGTCCCAGTGGAGCAGCATAGGGATGCTGGCCGGACAGTAAGCCTTTCTCACAGCGGCTGTGTCCAGAACCCCTGTATCGGGTCAGAGCAGGGCGGGCGCCCAGGGTGAGCCATGGTGTTTATCAGCCACTGGAAGCTCCCTGGACTTTTGTTCTTCGTGCCTGGACTTTGTGTTTTTTTTTCCTCTGTGTACATCTAACCTCTCCAGTACCACAGGATTTATTCTGACATCATTCCATTGATTCAGGTTGTGACTTGGAAACAGCGCCATCTGCTGGTTAACAGGTGAAATGGCAGATTTCATTTTTAATGGGTTTTTCATTTTTCAGCGGTTTTTGCTGAAATCACAAGGCCTCTATGACCTTGGTGGTACCTCAATTTATTGGTTATTAGGTTTCAATTTTCTTCTCCATATTATGTCATTATGGAATTACATGACATTAATTGTTAGGATTAATATCATGATAGGCAAAATTGACTCCGTATCTAAGGGTACTAGGAACTTACCTGAAACGGTCCAGGCTGTTGAATTTGACTTTCAGAAGTTATCACAGAGTTTTGATAAGGTAACAGACAGAATATACCTCCAGGATGGCAACTTACACGATATCTGGGGGGCAGTTCAAGGAGGAGATGTTATCTTTGAAAGGAAGACCTTGGAATCACAGGTGCAGAATGGGGATCAGAAAATTAATACCATAGGGAAATCACTAGAAAACTTTGCAGGTCAGAAGGTTCAGGCCTTACGTGAGAGAATGATTAAGAGATTTGAAATGATTGAGGAAATTATTGGAGCTGATGAACCAGATGAGAAGATACAAGGGCAGGGTACAATGCCACCACCAGCTGTCAGAACTTGTTTACCCAGGGTTTTAGTGACATACCCTGTAATTTATTCTGACAAAGTGTCAACTTCTAAAGGCTCAAAGGGAGCCAAAGAAGGTAGATGGACACCGATAGGAGTGAGTGACCTAAAGGAAATTAAGCACTCCATTGTTACTTATGGCTTGCACTCTACATTTGTTAAGGAAATAATAAGGACTTGGGCTATCCCAATGATTTCTCCCAGTTAGCATCAGTGGTGTTGGAAAGGTGGACCTTCCTTGATGTTTGGAGTTTATTTCAGAGAAGAATCCAAACATATGGAACAGCAAGGAAGAGCAAAAGGTATGGAGGTTTCACAGGATCAAATTCTTGGTGTAGGAGCTTACGCTGATCCACAGGTCCAAGCTTTTTATGATGAAGAAGTATTGTTCGTATACCACAAAGCAGCCTTGAATGCCTGGGATAGAATACCAGAATAGGGAAAAATATAGAGTCATATACCAGGGTTAGGCAGGGACAGGGAGAACCTTATATTGACTTTTCGCAAAGATTAATTAAGGCTCTGAACATAGGAGTAACAGACCCAGAAGCTAGATGACTAATTCTTGAATCACTGGCTTTTGAAAATGCAAACTTAGAATACAAAAAGATAATTGGGCCTTTAAGGTCTAGATCAGCACCGATGGATGAATGGATCCAGCATACCATGAATTTTCAGACCTTTAACTATGATTATGAATCTTGGATAGGAAAAGTGATTTCCAGAGCAATGAGGGGACATTAACCTGCCAAATGTTTTAATTGTGGTAAATTAGGACACCTGAAAAGGGATTGCAGGCAAGGAATTTATAGGAATAACACTTCATCTGGGAATGGCAGGAATAGGAAACCTCGGCCTTCAGGTATATGTAGAAGGTGTGGTAAAGGACGTCATTGGACCAGTGAATGCAGATCAACAACAGACAGACCAGGCAACCTGATACCATCTGGAATCTTCCTGAGTGGCCTTTTGCAGGCCCCCAAGCCAAAAGTGGCCCAGTCATTCCCAGTAACCGTGGAGGACATGTCACACCAGGAAAATTAAAAACTCTAGAACCTTCTATGCAAGATCATAAGGTTCTAAATGATGGTTCAAATTTAGAGGATAAGTCAGAAATTCAATTAGGAAATAAGAAGCGTATAAATGGAATTGTGATTGTTGGCTTGATAGACACAGGAACAGATGTGAGTATCATCACCCCAGAATCTTGGCATCCAAATTGGCCTCTTCAAGAGGCAGATATTCAATTACTAGGAATTGGAACCATATCTCAAGTTAAACAAAGCATGAGCTAGGTTAACTGTATTGGACCAGAAGGTCAAAGAGGAAAGCTAAGGCCATATGTAGCTGATATTGTAATAAATTTATAGGGTCATGACCTGCTACAGCAATCGAATACCCAGATTAACATTCCTGCAGTCCCAAGAACTCATAATTCTGGGAAGGATATAATAAGGTACTATGCACAAAGGTCACCAGCCATTCAGGCTGTACAAGAACATAAAGCAACTAACAAACCTTTAGAGGTACCACCAGCCCTACCTTTAAAATGGCTAACTGAGAAGCCAATATGGGTTAAGCAATGGCCTCTCGCTGAAGATAAATTGCAGGCCTTAGAACAATTGGTACAGTAGCAATTAAATGCTCGACATATTGAGGAGTCAACTAGCCCTTGGAATTCTCCTGTGTTTGTTGTAAAAAAAAAGAAATCTGGTAAATGGAGAATAGTAACAGATCTAAGGGCTCTCAACAAGGTAATTCAACCTATGGGCCCTCTACAGTCTGGAATTCCTCTGCCTTCTCTGTTACCAAAAGTATGGCCTTTTATCATTATTGATTTGAAAGATTGCTTCTTCACTGTACCTTTACAAGAAAAGAATAGAGAAAAATTTGCCTTCACAGTGCCTACTTATAATAATTCTCAGTCTACTAGGAGATGCCAGTGGACTATCCTACCACAGGGAATATTCAATAGCCCCATCCTGTGTCAATACTTTGTGAGTCAGCCATTGTAAATAATACGTAAGCAATTCCCTAAGTCTATAATTTACCATTACATGAATGACATTTTGTTATCTGATTCAAATAT